GAACCGCCTGTGTGTTTGTGGCTCATTTTTTGTTCGTTTTGTAATGAAATGCAGACCAGCACTAAATTCCACAGAAATGCCATTCTTAACATTTTAACTACTTTATGGTTGCTTATTTATTTGCCTTATTATAATTGCATTTTAAAATGCCATTGAATACATTTTTGTTGAATAAAAAATCTAATTAAAAGCAAAAATGTGAAAGCACAGCACACATACACGCTGAGAGTTTTGGATGCACTCTTTAACGCCAGTTTACAGTTTGATGAAACTTGTCTAATTAACATACTAATCAAGTTAAGTCTCAAAACTGCCCTTGATGCTGACTACTAGTATCTTGCTCAAATATTATGCAGTCACCATGGCAACCACTAAATAAATTAGTATTTAGAAATGTGTTATTAAAACTATTGTTTCAAAATATGTTGAAAAAAAATCTTTTTTAGGCAACAATTGGGAAATATTTTTAAATTTCACATGAAGCATAATAACTTTGACTTCAACTGTATATACACTCACCGGCCACTTTATTAGGTATACCTATCCAACTGCTTGTTAAGGCAAGTTTCTAATCAGCCAACCACATAGCAGTAACTCAATGCATTTAAGCATGTAGACATGGTCACGACGACCTGCTGCAGTTCAAAGCGAGCATCAGAATGGGGAAGAAAAGGGATTTAAGTGACTTTGAACGTGGCATGTTTGTTGATGCCAGACAGGCTGGTCTGAGTATTTCAGAATCTGCTGATCTACTGGGATTTTCACGCACAACCATCTCTAGGATTTACAGAGAGTGGTCTGAAAAAGGGAAAATATCCAGTTATTGGCAGTTCTGTGGGCGCAAATGCCTTGTTGAAGCCAGAGGTCAGAGGAGAATGGCCAGACTGGTTCCAGTTGATAGAAAGGCGACAGTAACTCAAATAAGCACTCGTTACAACTAAGGTCTGCAGAAGAGCGTTTCTGAATGCACAACACGTCCAACCTTGAGGCAGATGGGCTACAGCAGCAGAAGAGCCTCTCCTGTCAGCTAAAAAATGTAAACTGAGGCTACAATTCACACAGGCTCACCAAAATTGAACAATAGAAGTTTGGACAAATGTTGCCTGGTGTGATGAGTCTCCATTTCTGCTGTGACATTCGGATGGTCGGGTCAGAATTTGGCATCAACAACATAAAGCATGGATCCATCCTGTCTTGTATCAATGGTTCAGGCTGGTGGTGGTGGTGTAATGGTGTGGGGGAGAACTTCTTGGCTCATTTTGGGCTCATTAATACTAATTGAGCATCGTGTCAACACCACAACCTACCTGAATATTGTTGCTGACCATGTCCATCCCTTTATGACCACAGTGTACCCATCTTCTAATTGCTACTTCCAGCAGGATAACGCTCCGTGTTATAAAGCGTGAATCATCTCAGACTGGTTTCTTGAACATGACAATGAGTTCACTGTACTCAATTGGCCTCCACAGTCACCAGATGTCAATCCAATAGAGCACCTTTGGAATATGGTGGAACAGTAGTTTGGCATCATGGATGTGCAGTCAACAAATCTGCAGCAACTGTGTGATGCTCTCATTTCAATATGGAGCAAAATCTCTGAGGATTATTTCCAGTACCAACGCCAGCAGTTCTAAAGGTAAAAGGCGGTTCAACCCGGTACTAATAGGTGTACCTAATAAAGCGGCCGGTCAGTGTATGTTTTGCTAAGTAAATTCGAGATGTTTTAGTAGTGATGTGTTTAGATGAGAAGGTGGGTAATCCAGGCGTACGCTGTAGCAGGAATGTCTAAATACTCTTTCTCACGTTAAAAGAAGCGTTTTTCAGACTTGGCAATGAGAAACGCACTGACAAACCCATCGCCCACACTTGACGCTGAGGAGGGATCTTTTTATGTTTTCCTCGTTTTATTTACAGTTTTGAAATGCCTATGAAAAGTGGCATAAAATCAAGAAGACGTTTAAGGCTTGTTTTCAAGCACTTGTTTAGCTTTTTTCTACTTGCTTATGGAACTGTGAGTTCTGACAGCGGCATAATGAGATTTCACAGACACAAAAGATGATGAATATGAATTAATGGTGTTTTTCCAAAAATATTATGGGCTTATTTTTCCTGGTCCTGACACACAAAAAATCATGTGGACAATCCTCTGTTAATTGCACTGAGATGTGTATAGGCCTGCCCCTTAATAGCATTGGTGGAAAGGAGGAAGTTTGATTGACTACATTCTCATTTTTTGGTTATTAATACTTTGTTGTTGTTGTTATTTATTTATTTACAATGATATACATATTACTGGCAAAAAAAATTATAATCTGATAATGATTTAATAATTATGATTAAGCATTTATTTATACTGTATAAAAGGGCTTCTCAAAGTCCGGACTCCAGTCTGGATCCAGACAGCAAGGGTATTCAATTCGAACCCGACTTCATTTCATATTGCAAGACCATGCTTAAATTGTGCATTTTCTTCATTGATAAACGCAAAAACTACGGCTGTGCAATTAATCGAAAACGCAAACAAATCGTGATTTAAACACATGTGATTTCTAAACTGCATAAGGCTGCAATTTTCAATTTTTGTAATTAGGCAAGTAATAATGATGGTTTGTTCTGTTGACAATCGAAAAAAATACAGCTTAAAGGGGCTAATAATATTGACCTTAAAATGGTGTTTAAAAAATTAAAAACTGCTTTTATTCTAGCTGAAATAAAACAAATAAGACTTTCTCCAGAAGAAAAAATATTATCAGACATACTGTGATAATTTCCTGAATCTGTTAAACATCATTTGGGGAAAAAAAAAAAACTCTTTAACTGTATGTGTTATGCATTTTTAAAGGAATAATGCCATTTGTAACTTTAAACTGCATTTTCTAACCATTTAATTGTATCTTTAATAAAATGGAATTGTGTTTTCATAATTGCGAGAAAAATTAGTTTTAGAAAGTATAATATCAGCCAGACAAATGAATCAGCCAATATTTAGCCAATTAGTTTCTTGAAACTTCGTTTTTCTTATTATATATTTTCGTTTCTTTTTTTTTTCATTCTGTATTGTATTGCATTGTGTGAATATAATAATACATCGGTCACACTTTACAATAAGGTTCATTAGTTAATGTTAATTAATGCATTTACTAACATTAAAAAACAATGAACAATACATTTACTACTGTATTTGTTCATGTTAGTTAACGTTAGTTAATGAAAATACAGCAGTTCATTGTTAGTTCATGTTAACTCATGGTGCATTAACTAATGTTAACAAGCATGGACTTGGATGTTAATAATGCATTTGTAAATGTTCAATTATGATTAATAAATGCTGTACATGTGTTGTTCATGATTAGTTCATGTTAGTAAATGCATTAACTAATAAACCTTATTGTAAAGTGTTACCAATTCATCTTATCAGCTTCTATTAAACATTGTTGGAGTTGACACTGTATTAAAACTAGCAGTCAGTCAGTTTTTTGAGTGATACTTTTCGTACAAAATCTGTAGATTAAATGCTTAATTATTTTGTGTGAAGGAAACAATGCATGTTGTGTAAATAGAAAGTGTTATATTTGTATTATTGAGACAGTATTATTGCAGTGTTTATTGTTATATTGGCTTTATTTTCATAGTTTTATTTACTTAAACTTTTTAGTAATTCATTTTCATGTTATTGGTTTACTCTGCACTCATTGCTATATGCCCTTAATGTCACTGTATTGTTTACAATTTTTATTACATATGTATATTTTTTCTTAGACCACATTTATGTGCAATGTATATACTGTAAATTTTCTTTCTTTTTTTTCTTAAACTTTACTATTTATTTTTTTTTATATATATATATTTTATATTAATGTTAAGCACCTTGGGTCTGAGAGTAACGCAATTTCGATTCTCTGTATGTCCTGTACATGTGGCTGAATTGACAATAAAGCTGACTTTGACTTTGACTTATTTTAAAGGGGACCTATTATGCAAAAATCACTTTTATAAAGGGTTTAAGCACATTTCTATGTCAACAGTGTGTGGTTATAACCAGCTTCTAATGGTATAAATTAATAACTTGTATTTTTTATAATCACACTTGATAAAAACAGAAACATTTTATTGACGTTCTCCCTTTGTATGTTTCATCAGAGAGGCAAAGACCCGCTCACTAGTGACCATCTTTCCCTTATCAGCATAGATTATTAGTCTTGTTTTTGAATGTGCTATTATGCTGACACACAGGCATTTGTAGCTCCACCCTCTTTTGAAAAGAGCACAATCTTAATTTCAATTTAAAGCAACAGTCACCAAAACACCACAATTAGGATCGAAGCCTAAAAGGGTCAGTGACCTTTAACCCTCAGGGGTGTGAGGTGATTTTGGGGCCATTAAGATATTTTAACATGACCTGACATTTGTGCTTATTTCAGCTCCTTATAGATGTTCACATTAAACCAAACAATCAAAAAACAAACAAACAAACAAACAAACAAACAAACAAACAAACAAACAAACAAACAAAACATTTACTTTCCCACAAGCTGAAACTAAATCAGTGACATGTATGTCCAGTAGGAGTTTGAGTTGCTAAATCTACTGGCGTTGAGCAGGAGAGTGATTTTTGCATGTCCATTTCCATTTGATTTTCTTAGTACCTATTTTCAGCGAGGTGATTAAAAATCCCCCTCGATGCCACAAAAAAACCTTCTTTCCTTCCCCTTTGATTTACAGTCAATGCGAGGGAGATAAGAATTAATTAGTAAAATGTTCTCTATATAGATCTCACTTTCTTGCACCCAGTCAAATTGCTGGGGGCCGACCTTGGATTTTCCTGCATTATTGATGGCTCTAATCTGGAACAGCGGCGTAATTAAAAGAGCGAATGGAATGGAATATTAACAAAGCAAAATGATGTGGCGGCGTCTGCCAAATGGGTTGTAATTGGAAGTGTAGATGGTAATTAAAGGCTGGTGTGTTTACTGGAGACGTTCTTCTGCTTGAAACAGGTCTCTGGACACCCGACGGCAGACACGCAGGCTCAGGGCCAGGTCCTGGCTAATAGCGTCCGGTGGGGACAAACACCCATTAACCAGTCCACGCCCTGGGACACAGACGAACCGCCCGCAAAGCAGATGAGGGAGAAAGATATCGCAGGTAAAAGAAAATCTCTTATTTGCTCTCTTCTTTCTTGCTCGGATTGAGTGCTTGAATTAGATTCATATTAGGGGTGGGCGATAATGCCTCTAGTTCAATCTCTTGGCAATTCATAACTTTTTTGATATATATATTTTTTTAATTATTGTGTGTGTGTGTGTATGTATGTGTATATATATATATATATATATATATATATATATATATATATATATATATATATATATACACATACACACACACAT